TGACCAAATAGAAACAACGGCAATCAACGTCTATGCACAAAACGCTCAAGACTGGTTAACCACAGTCATTCAGCATACTGGTTTTCATACTACCTCCCTTGTTTATGTGTTTTCTATTTGGTCAGGGTATTAGGTTCTACTGTAGCTATTCTTCTCCTATTGTTGTTAACGCCTTATATTTGTAGCCTTATTTGTGAAATAAAACGTGAACTAGGCGAGCTCAACCCGACAAAATACGACCTCCAAAAACGATTCAAAACATATGCTTTCTCCAAAGCTCCTATTGGCGATCAAACGACGGCAAGGCGGCTAAGATGACAGTCTTTTCCAGTCTCATTACAGTCTTTTTCGCTGCAGACGCCTAGGCGCGTCAGGGAGCTGGGTTTGGCCCCAGGCCGTTTTCCACTGATTGTTGAAAGGGGCAAGTGACAACAGCTGGTGCAAAATGGGTTTTGCACCGAGCCACACCCGCCCTCCTGACACGCCCCATCATCCGCAGCAAACAAGACTGTGTGTGGTCCAAAAGTCGTTAATTGACACATCTGTGAAGAAAAAAAAACAGAAAAACCTGTCAGGAACGTTTCACTCACACCTCTGACGTCGCACGAGTTTACATAGGACTACGGAGGCTTATTCAGGCTTTTTAAAGTGATCAATTCAGAAATATGCCCAAAAGTATGTGGCAGAGGTTCCAGGGGTTGAAGTCAGGCTGCCTCATCCACCCTTAAAGGCGAAAACACTAACTGCCAGCACTTCACGGAGAATGGCATTTGGCGTTCGGCCATCCCCTTCGTCTTCCGATGTCTCGATCGTCGGAGAGCGTAGCACTTTTTCAACGTATACAAGGCTCAAAACCAACTGCAAAAAAGAGGGCCTTATTCAGGTCGTTTTCGACGTTTTCTTTCACTCCATATTTGAACCCTCTACCTGCGAATCGCTATCGCAGATACGACTTTGGAAGAGGCATCTATTGTACTTCGAAATGCTAAAGTGACTCTATTGCAGGTGAAAACGTAAAGCCTCTGGAAAACCCGATTGTGGATGTCTATGAGGTAGAACTTTTCGATCTTTGGCTTTAGAATCTTACTTTCATTTATTTTTTGTTTTTTTGTGAGAGCAAAAAGGCTTAGATGTTGGCGCAGCCGTAACGGCAGGTTTTCACAGCTGCCGTCGATACGCCTCTTTTTGCCCTCACCATCACACAACGAGTTCACAATGAAAGCAAATTAGCCTGATTCCAGAAACCTTCGCAGCCACCAAGTTACGATTGACATAGTGCATACGGTGGATGTCGACAAAGAGGTGCAGAAAGGAGAAGAAGGAAACTCGGGTTTTACTACACTTGTGATAAACAACGATGCCAAACAACTGCATTTACATGTTTAAAAATGTTGAATTTCATATAATTTTTCTGTTTTGTTTACCTTGTGTTATGTGCCTTCAAGTTACATGTATAGCATTCCGAATAAAGTCCCCCAATTTATATTGAACAGCAATCGAGACCAGGGAGATTGAGGCAAGTTTCCGCGATAATCGATGGGCGGAGACTTGCCAACACTGCTCCCTTTTTCTTTGCTGCATCGAAGTGCGCCGCAATCAAGAAGGTGATTTATGAGTTCCAGCCCAGCAAATTAGCGAGACTCGTCTTCAAAAGCAAGTACATACTTCGAGTACTTATTGTGGGCAATGGCGTTCAGCTGAGAACCTCCACTGACCTAGTGACTGTCCACTAGAGAAAAAAAGTGAAAAATATCTATTAAGAACTTTCACAAATAAAACCTCGCTGGGGCAGTTGATAGTCGCTTTGGACGAGTTTGCCGGGCATGCGGGCAACTTGCCATTCTCAGACTTCTGTGCCTCCTCTGGCTCACAAGACGTTCCATTGCATATTCCTCTACCAAATGGCACCCAACTCGAGGGAAAAATCAAAAAGAACAGCTTGAAATGGAAACATAGCTGCAAAAACTCCTTTCAAGAACGTTCTTACGGTAATGCGTCGAATCATTGCACCAATGGAATTGCATCATTGGTGATTGGAGGGGCTGTACCAACGGTCTTCTACCTTGCTAAATTGCTGCATTGCATTGCTTTTCATCATCGACTTCAATCATCTTCAACTCACACGTGCCGTTCGGGTGCCGTCTATGCGAGCGAAAACTAGACGTGCACCCAGGAGTTCTCTGCTGCTTGACGCAGTCGAGAGGAACTTCTAGTGACTGGGCATATGTAGCTCACTTGAACATGGCGCTGGCCACATTTTTAATGGGATATCACCTTTCTGAAACAAGGGAACCAGGCCTTTGTTCGGATGAAGTACGAAAAAAATCAGTGAAATCAAAAATTAATAGACTATGTTGAAAAATCGAATAAAAATGATAATTGTTGAGGGGTCGAAAGCAAAGAGATAACTAAGCTTCCATTCTACACGTGCTCTTTGACGGAAGCCGAACAGAAGCATAGTTTCCGCCCCCCCCCTCTCTGCTCTTCAGTAAGGGAAGCAAGGAATATTGAATTTCGGAATTTTATGAGAAAACAAAGATGAAAATGACAGAACAATCAAGAAGATTGAATAGGCAAGTACACCCGAAATAGCTGGTATGTGGTGGGCGTGGCTGCGTACAACCAAACGTGGCTGTGGCTGTCCTTTAGTGAGATATTTTCATTTTCACACAGCTGTTTTAATGTCTCTGAGCAACAGTGAGCAAGATGACAGCTGTTTAAAGTGGAATATCCCACCAGCGTCTGGTTCTATGGTATCTATGGTATCTTGATACCACGCCTACTCCGTCCCAGGGATAAGGAGTGTATTTACGGAGCAACACCCTTCTAAGGTCCTTGATATGAAATGTACTCTGTATCTTCCCTCCCGGCATGTGTGAACCTCGGAGAAAATGACAATGGACGTTCTTGAAAGGAAACAAGGAAACTTGAGATATATTGCCAGTCCCATCGACCAGTACCCGTCTCCTGTGTACCTGTCAGTTTCTGTGAAGCGGTGCAGCAACAAAATGTCCGTACACTTGGGCAAGGGTCTGAGTCGAGACGAAAAATATAATTTACCGGAAAGTAGCAAAGGAAACTAGCGAAAGTGCAAAATGACCCCCTCCCACCTCTGCCGTAAGCCAAAGAGCACCAAAAATTCTCCACATTTTGGTAACGGTCCTAGTTCCTCCCTAGTTGTAGCAGTTGTAGGTGGTAGCTTGCTCAGGAACTAAATGATTTGCCTTGAAAGCTCCATAATGAGTTTTGTTCTAGAGGTGTTTTCTGCACATTCGGGGTCAGGCTGTATTTGTACAGTACTCGGCGATATTTGCACACTTACGGCTAACCTGGCACCAACATATTGATCCTCCGATTCCTTTGTGACTCAAGCCGCTCGGAGGAATGTAAGTATTTGATTGAATCTTGGTCTCATATAATCAACGCACCTTCGGCCACAACAGTTCTCTGGTATTGATCGATTTCTTCCCGCTTCACTTCAAGGGGTCCAGAATTTTACAATTACTTCAGTTTTTGCAGAAGTTCTTGTTTGCTTAATTGTATTGTTTCCAGGCAATGCGTGCCTACTGCAGGACCAGCAAAGCCATCCGAGGGATTCGAATCGCGTCTCTTATAGTTCTTTCCATTACCCTGGTATGTCATGGAATACTTCTCGACTGCTGTAGCCGTTGTAGTTGCAACATAATAGCCATATCATAATAGGAATATCGCGCAAGGTTGGCTACGAAGTATGGGCCTGTTTACCTTTACTGCCCCACTCTTTGGAAATCAGACCAGACTTTTACCATGTTTCTTCTCTAGAGACAGATTTGGCTGAATATAGTTCCAGTGGTGAATTTAAGGAGTACTTCAAAGGCAGTGGTCACGACCGATAGGGCGGGCGCTCGCTGCCAAAGTCATTGGTGAAAGGGCGTTTGGCCACACCCCGTTCCGCCCTTCCACCAATGGCGTTGACAGAAAAGCCGCCCTCCGGTCATCGTACCCATTGCTTTTAAGTCCCTGAGTACGCTCCGGTTTCCGCACAGAACTGATTAGCTCCTGCGTAGTGGAAGCCGACAGTGAAATGTCTCAAATACCTCAAATACCGCTGGAAACTGGTCTGCAGGGGTAGTTGAGATCATGAACATAGAGAAAATTTGCTTGCTAGCGTAGTTAAGGGTGTAACTAAAGTAACTACAGTAACTGGATGTGGCACCACGATCTTCACTGCTCGTCTGCACCCTCGCCCAGAGATATCCCTTTCTACGGTTGAACCTGAGCAAAGGAATGGGTCACTATTACGGACAACCGGGAAGGCAGTCTACAGCTATGTTATCAACTGTTAGCACTTCACCTGGCAAGACACCGCCTTGGCTCCGCGTTCCCAAACCAGCCGTCGGAACTGTCCATGTCGAGACAGACCCAGCGCTCGGCTCTGGCTCAGGCGCCAGGCGGTTTCCTGCCGAGCCAAGGTGACATCTCTGTTCAAAGGGTCAAAATACCTCTGATTAGAGATGTCACGTTGGCTTGGCTAGTTTAACGGAAATGCCCTCAGGGATGTCAGAGGGTTTACCAGGAATTCTTCCTGTAAGAATGACCCTGTCTCATATATTTTACAGAAGAGCTACTTTTAGGTACTCTCTATCGGTTCGGTTGGTTTTTCGATAAAGACCTTAACAGAAACGGGATTTGTCGCGGGTATAGTTGGAAGCCGAGAACTTATCACAACAGCTTCGGTGATGTTATCAATAGGAGCCTTCGTTTTGATAACGGCTCCTCTTGGTCTGATTTCGGCCATGGCTATATATCCATCAGTTACGCTTACGGTAGGCGATTTGACTCAAACTGCAGTAAAGTGTCATGCTTACTCAACAAAGTCAATGCTTTAGTACATGATATTGATTTTCTTCATGGGTCTTGTCTGTCTTGTCAGTGGTTGGTTAGGATACCATTTGCGTAGGGAGGTGAGGAGCATCAGTGTGGAAGTGTGCGACTTATTTGGAATAAATATTCATTCCAGGTAGAATCCGGAGTGATCCTGAAGTGGATGAACTACAGTCTGCTATACGAATACGGTAATCCCTTCGCAGACGATTTGACGCGGTCTTGGGATGAGTTACATCAAAAGGTAAATACAGTTGTGTCGCCCTGAGGGTAAGAGGGAAATTTCCAGGTAGGTATGGTCGTGGTCCCTGCAAACGTCAGAATGTGAAGAGCAGCGACTGGGTGCACGGCCAGTTCAGCCTTTCTAACCAATTATTGTGCACATGGAATAGCATCATTGGTGGGAAAAACCATCTTGGCTGCGCTCAAATCTACACCTCTATACACGCCCTACCCTTTGCGGAGACGATATCCTTTGGGTTCATTCGGAAGATAGGCGGGAGAATTATGTATATGAGAGGAGTGGGATCAAGGGAACACACAGTCGTCTTTGAGTCCCCTCCTTTTGGCCTCCGATGTGGGCTGATGTAGCACTGGTGTACGGTGCAGTACATTTCCCGTCAACAGATTGATGGACCGCGTTCATACTTTGCGACTTGGGAGAATAGGAGAATAAGAGAGGAGTTGCGAGAGGCTGTGCTACAGAGCAATAGACGGGAATGGACCGACTACGCTCGATCGACTCCCACTCGGCACACATTCTCCTGAAAGGTTAAATTTCTTAGACAGCGTTCAGACTTCGCGACGGCAGCGCTTCGGTCGCGCGTTCGACGCGATCGATGCGCATGCTTTCGACTGCATCGATCGCGTCGAACGCGCGACCGAAGCGCTGCCGTCGCGAAGATCTGAACGCTGCCTTATTCTCTCAAGTCGCCAAATCGAAATCTACACTTTCCTTGGTGGTATTGTCTGAGAACTTGGAATCGCTTCTGCTCGTGTCCTCCTATGTTTCGGTCTATCAAAGCGCCTAAGCCCTATTGACTACCACTGTTATCTGAAAGTGTTACAGTACGCTTGCTGTGGGATATCTGATGAGACGAATACTGTAGAATGGCAGAGCTCTCACTGGTTCATAACTTATGATCGGTGAGCTATAATATCGTCCCATTCCTGCGGGAACCGTTCCACGATAACTATCTCAGTTTCAGATGGCCGAGACCGCGAGTTCCAGCCAGCTGTTGCTCCACATGTAAAAAGGTGAGGATTGTTACAAAACCTCAGCATTACTCGCTACATATTCTATCGCAGACTGCATGACGGAGCTTTACCACGTCAGGACATAACGTAGCTCGACCTCACGAAAGACATGATAGAACGTGATACCAATGCGACCAACTCACCCCCACAAGCTACTTCTTCCAGTACGCCCACCCCCTTCCCTTCCCAAATGTCTTCTTCTTACACGACCCCCTCTCGCAACCCACCTACCACCTGACCAAATTGTTCCGACTCCCATCCACTTTTTCAAATTCCACCACTTCCCCAAAAAAGCTGGAACTCTGCCTGAAGTAGGGTTCTTAATAAGGCCATAAAATAATTCTGCAGAGCCACCATCTCTCGCCCTCCCTTCCCCAGCATTTGCTACTTGACACAAAGCTCTTTCCCATATTACTTGCAATGTTGCCAGACCTCTCCAAAATTTTGGCTGGGGAAGCGGGGCGGGGGGGGAGGGAGCGGGAGCGTGCGTGAGGCCAGCAAGATACGTCCATCCTCTATGGCGTGCAACGCCCTCTCCACCCTCTCCCCCGAACTCTCCCAAAAATGCTGTAAGCGGGGCACGCCATCGCGTTGTGATAAATCCTCATGAAATACGACCCCCTCGCTCCTTTATAGCGTCCGTGAAACAAAAGAAATCAACTATCAAAAAAATTTTCTCAGACCAAATACGACCCCCCCCTCCTCTCGCGGTCAAATACGACCCCCGCCTTTTATAATTATCACATCGATGGTGTGTTCTGGCTATATGTGTGGATATGGTAAATCTGTGGAAAATGGTGCAAACGGAAACTGTACTTGGAAAGGGGGCAGGGCTCGGCATGATTTACAGTGTGCTCAGGGGCGGAATGTATGGCGCTTCGTGCATGAATGCCTAGTCGCTTTGCAGAAGACCACTGAGAAGCCCCCCCCGCCTACTACGCACATAACGCCGTATTGCTGGATATTTATAAAAACTGCCATCAAATTTCAGGGTTGCTATGGACCATTAATTGAGTACTTACGCTATCACTCATCGGCTACGGTGCTCATCTCGTCTTTTATGGTGCTTCTATGTTTGCTGAATTCTTGCTTATGTTTTCTCATACACGAATCTTTACTGAAGCCTCAAATCTATGGCGAAGCTCTACTTACCTGACTTACTCGATATGAATACTGTGTTGCATACTTGCTTCCCGCATATCAGAACGTGGCCTTTACAATTATTGCCGATCTCGAACTGCGTTGTCTCATTTTTACTGCCTAAGAAGTGCCTTCTGGTGGATCTTGTGAAGCTTTCTCATAGCCACATTCTGTGAAGAATTCAAAATGTCGGTTGGGAGACCCACGTTGCGGCTACGCGGCGAACACGGCGTTGTTGTCGCGGCGCTGAATTCGCAACCGAATTGATTTTATTTTTCTTTTGAGAAGAGCCATTCGAGCCAACTAGCAAGGATTTGTAGCATATTTGAGTAGCGCGAATTTCCCGACCGACACCCATTTAATTGTTATTGGGAGCATAATTTATCCCGGTGCCTCAATAAACCTGTATATTTGCATTCTTTCATTGATACACATATGTGCTTAGTGAATAAACGATGTTTTTTTTTCAAAGACAGAGGCTGAATAACGTAATCGAGGACAAAAAGGATAGAGCTGCCGGCGTATTGCGCAGTTCCTTTTGGAATGCGCTACGTACATTGCCACGCTCCCATGCAGTCTCAGCGGCGTAGCGAATGTAATAAGACTTGTGAATGAATTGCGGCGCCACTCTATATACAAGGCAGCGTCTATTCTCTCAGGCGAATCTGGCACCAGGTTACCTGGTCCCAGGACTGATGGAAAGCTCGGTTAGCCCGACGGGATTCCGGCTGCGGTAAGCGAGCCACTTGCCAGGCCACCGCCTCTGCACTGCAGTGTGGTTGAATAAAAGCCATAAAGGGAATGAAGTGAGACTGTTGGGAAGAATATCCAAAGGGGCCACGGAGTGGGGTGTGTTGGAGTGCACCTTAGTGGCCGGTTTCCTTAGTTCTCGACGCAAAGATGTGCATTATAAAGCTTCATTATGACGGTACGAACACGTAT